AGTTTTTGGGGTGTTACAGATAACAACTTGTCACGACTCAAATTCCAACTAGTCGTGATGGTACCTAACCCAACTCACTAGGTAAGACAAATAACATTAAACACAAATCAAATGAGGATAATATGAATCAATAAATGAAATAACTGAATCTTTATACAATAACCCAATGATTGGAAGTATAAGTCATGAGCCACTAAGATGTAGATTTAGAAAGCTGGAATAAATTCAACCTCTATTTGGAATGTGCATAAATAGATTATAAGTCTAAAGCTACCAAGGACAAGTGGCAGCAATATCCGGAAAACAGGTTCATCTTCAATGCCAACTCCCGCCATGTACAACAACATCAGCTCCAAGATCTACACGCAATGTGCAGAAGTATAGTAGGAGTACAACCGACCCCATGTACTAAATAAGTATCATAACTAACATCGGCGAGTTAATAGAAGCAATAATTATAAATGATACTCGTCAATTACCTGAACGGTTTATAATTTCCAACAAGTACATCACAGTAATATGAACGAATCATGAAATTTCAGATAAGACCACATTGGAGCACAAAATATCCTTAACATACTCTGCTCAGTCAATAATCCAGCATAAAGGGAAGATATGCAAATAAATCAGATAAACATCCAAGGAATATTGCAATTAAAGAAGAAATGCAATAATCAAATATCAATTCATTGCGGCGCACAACCCGATCCAAATAGAAATCACATTACGGCTCTCTGACCCTGAGTAATCAAACCAAACCAGTAACCAGCTCTCCTAGAGCTCACATCAACCAAAAACGTGTAGGTTTCTCACAACCCGCGTGTACACCATCAAGAAGGCACATGAGAGGATGACCCTAGGGAGATGGATCCGTATCCACACGTAGCATGACCAATTCAACGTGATATCAGTCCGGCATGGTCGCAGTCTCAATATCATAATCCACCTGGCATGGTCACATGCTCAATATTATAATCCGCCTGGTATTGTCACAGGATATATCACAACCCGTTCGGCGTGGTCACATGCATAACAACACAATCCTCCCGATATGTTCACTGGCATAACAACACAATCCGCTCGGCGTGGTCACATGCATCCAGTCCAAATCATATCACACAGAAGTAAATATACAAGAATGCATGTATATGATCAATGAATATAAGATTTTATGCCCCGGGACTGGTATAAATAATATGCTAAGGTGTATGCATGTGCCAAAGTATGCTATCATAGCTCATATCGGCAGCTGCATCATGGAAATTGAAATTATCAAGTTCATTAAGGGGATTGGCCTCTATATAACCTCTAACATGGATAAAATAGTTTACAACAGGGTTACAAATATGAGAAACATCACAACATAGGGCTTAGAAAATCAATTCAAGGCATGTCATGGCTTAAGCACTACCCCGAGCATGGATAAATACCCCGGTGTTTGCACATGGGCTCAAACCTCACATATATGAGCACCCATATCACGTAGCTATTACAAATAACCTTGGCAACTAGTGCCTCAACCAAGTTAAGGTAAGATACTTACCTCAAGCAAGCCAAATCAAATACCGAGCAAGCCAAACAATACTCTAGAAACAACATCCCGCACGAATCGACCTCCGAACGGCTCGAAACTAGCCAAAAGCAACTCAAATCATCAAATAATGCCAAAGGAAACAAACCCGAGCGATAAAGGTCAAATCTTTAATCCAATACTCAAAGTCAACCAAAACGTCAACCCGAGCACGCACCTTTGAACCCGACAAAACTCACAAATTTTGACAACCCGTTCGAATACGAGTCCAACCATACTAATTTTACTTAAATCCGACTCCGAATCGATGTTCAGAACTCAATAATTTACTTTAGGAATGATTAGACAACCCCTCCCCCCCATTACTCTTTTAAATTTATAATCAAAATGTCAGAATCAAAGATGGAATCATGGAATATAATCAAAACTGAGTCAAAAATACTTACCTTAATCTATGTGGTGAAAATCTCCTCCAAAATCGCCCAAATCCAAGCTCTCCAACTCAAAATATGAATAAAATAACTCAACCCTTGAATATATAGAACCTACCCAGGCACCCTCGCATGTGCGGTCCAATAGCCGCTTCTGCGATAAAAACTCCGATTCTGCGGACAACACTGAAGCCCCGACCTCATACACATGTAGAAACACTTCAGCTTCTGCGACATCGCAGGTGCGTGGCACATCGCGCTTCTGCGCTTAGCCCACATCTAGCTTCTCGCTTCTGTGCCTAGTCCATCGCTTCTGTGGTTACGCAGATGCGCCCAACATTCCGCGCCTGCGGACATCCCATCCTCCATCATTCTTTGCTTCTGCGACCATGATCCCGCATCTGCGGCCAACCCTCCGCAGATGCGGAAACACCAGAACCTACAAATTCTTCAGCAAGGAAACATAGCCCAAAATGAATCCGAAATGAATCCGAAACACATCTGAGGCCCCCGAGACCCCGTCCGAACATAGCAACAAGTCCTAAAAACACAACACGAACCTACTCGCGTCCTCAAATCACACATAATAGCATCAAAACTACAAATCGTATCTCAAATGAAACTTAATGAACTTTTAAACTTTCAACTTCCAAAACTCGTGTCGAACCATATCAAGTCAACTCGGAGTAACCTCAAATTTTACACACGAGTTCCAAATGACATAACACACCAATTACAACTCCCGGAACAAAATCCAAACCTGATATCATCAAAGTCAACTCTCGGTCAAACTTATGAATATTCCAAACCTTTAAATTATCAACTTTCGCCAAATAGTGCCAAAACCTTGTAGCAATATCCAAATATCAAATCCAGGCATACGTCCAAGTTCAAAATCACCATCCGGACCTAACATAACTATAAAAAATCTGATCTAATGTCAAATACACAAAAGACAAACTTGATCAACTCTTCCAACTTAAAGCTTCCTATTTAAAAATCATTCTTCCAAATTAATTCCGAATAATTCGAATACCAAAACCATCCATACACGCAAGTTATAATACACCATATGAAGCTACTCATGACCTCAAATCACCGAACTGAATGCAAATGCTCGAAACGACGGATCGGGTCGTTACACTTGTCTACCTTAACAAACTTGCTTTTTCTTCATATCTTTTTAGTTAAATGAGCAAATCATACTGCACTGCAAGTCTACTGCTCCATGTATTTCTTTTACAAGTTTTAGTCTTTATCTTTTTTGTATCTTCTATTAAGGCGTGTGTATTTGGATGTACATATGGATAGTAAATATATTGTATGTTTATGACTAGGAGAGTTTTCCTTTTCCAAATTTTTTAGGAGGGTTTTCCGTTTTCCTTTTCCATATTTGTTAGGCGAGTTTTTCTTTTTCATATTTGTTAGGACTAGTTTTCCATATTTGTTAGGACTAGGGTTTACTACTTGACTTGTATATATATTCTTGTTAATCAATAGAAGAAGGCAAGCCTTTCTTCCACACTTGGCCACCGTGTTCTTGTGTGTTTGGCTTTGTATTAGAGCCAAGATCGAGCCAAACCATAAGAATCTCGTAGTGACAAACCAATGATAGGGGACAGTGGTAAACACGTCACCTCTAATAGTGGTGGTGGTGATGAAAGAAACAAACAAAAGGCCATCTTTCCGTACTACATAATATTTAATGACAATCCTAGGATTTGATAGCACATGTGGCTTTGAAAGGAGAAAACTATGATAAAAGGGCACGGTCCATGAGGACCGCCTTAAGGGGGAGGAAGAAGTTCAGACTTATTGACGGAATAATCAGGAGACCAGATGAGAAGTCTCTAGATCTTGAAGAATGGTGCAGCATTAACTCGTTGTTGGTTTCATAGACTCGGAATGCTATTGAGCCTACTTTGTGTTCGTCTATACTACACATGAAAGTTGCTGAAGATTTATGGACTAGTATTAAAGAACATTTCTCGATCTCTAATGGTACAAGAATACACCAGTTGAAGGCCAAACTTGCGGAGTTCAAATAAAAGGGCATCACCATAGTTAATTACTACGAAAAATTAACAAAACTCTGGGAAAAACTTGCTAATTTTGATCAAATACCAACTTGCACATGTGGTAAGTGCACATGCGAGCTTGGTACAACCTTGGAAAAGAAAAAGGAAGAGGAGAAGATGCACCTTTTTCTTATGGGGTTAGATGAAACACTATATGGAACAGTGAGGTCGAACTTGCTCGCTCAAGATCTGTTGCCAACTTTGAATTGAGTTTATGAGAAGTTGGTACAAGAACTTGTGAAGACGATGGCTTGAGGGGCAGATGGGGATGGTGACGTTATAGCCTCTACTGTACAAGTAACATCCCCGATAGAGGTCGAAATGAAGTGAGTGACAAAAAAACTTGCTCCTACTAAGAGAGAATTGGACATGAGAAAGTTGCTTCCAGCTGTTGGGTATCCAGAATGGTGGGGAGACAGACCTCACGGTGATGGTAAATCAAGTGGGCGCAGTAGAGGAAAATAACAACATTATAGGGGTGGAATGAATAGAGGCCGCAGACATGGCGCTGCGTATCACGCGAATGTTGTACAGACTATGAGAGGTGGCATCTTCACAGCTGTGATGGGGGAAGTAAAGGCTGGGCCTCCGGGGTTGAGAAATGAGCGGTGACAAATGTTGATTTCTATGTTGAATAACCAATAAATAAGTTCGAATGAGAAGATAACCGGAAAGCAAAATTATGTATCTTGGATCCTTGATACAGGAGCGGCGAATCATATGATAGGATGTTTAAAATTATTGCATAATTTGCAAAAGATTAAGCGATGGCCTGTTAGTTTGCCTGATGGGAGTAATGCAATAGCGACCATCACAGGTTCAACGAAACTTGAAGGAAATTTGGTCTTAAAAATAATTTTTTATGTTCCTGTCTTAACTTGCAACTTGATTTCTATATCTCAATTAATCGATTACTCAAATTATTTGATGATTTTCACTAAACTTTTATGTATTATGCAGGACCACATCTCGAGGATGTTGATTGGAGCGGGTGAGCGGAAAGATGGACTCTGTTATTTCAGAAACAAACAGAGGGTATGTGCCCTAAAGGTTGGTGTTGTGGGCTTGCTGTATCTTTGGCAAAGACGTTTGGGTCATCCTCTCTACAAGTGACCAAATTAATTCTTGTTGTAGATTTTAGAAAAAGTAGTGATGTTTTAAATAAAAGTTGCAATGTATGTCATTGGGCTAAACAAACAGGAGACAAATTTCATTTTGAGTAATAGTAGAGCTTCTAGCATCTTTAAGTTGATTCATTGTGATTTCTGGGGACCTTATCGAACAACTTCGTCTTGTGGTGCATCATATTTTTGACTATCGTATATGATTACCCGCGTGCTGTGTGGATTTTTGTATTGATTGATAAGAATGTGGATTTTTGTATTGATTGATAAGAAAAAAGTAGTGTAAACTGTGAAGATTTCTTTGCTATGATAGACAGACAATTCAATAAGTGAGTTAAAACCTTCAGGAGCAATAATGGAACATAGTTTGTATGCTTTAGTAATTATTTTCTGAAATGTGAGATTGTTTTTCAAACTTCATGTACAGGAACACCCCAATAGAATGGAAAAGTGCAAAGAAAGCATCGCCATATCTTGAATGTAGCCCGAGCCTTGCACTTTCAAGGTAACTTACTGATTGATTTTTTGGGGGAATGTGTTTGACGGCTTGTCACTTGATTAATCAAACTCCATCTTCAATCTTGTATGGAAAAACACTTTATGACTTATTATATGGTTGACTGCCTGAGTATAGACATCTTCGATCGATATGTTATCTCGAAGCTTAGGGAAGAAGGTGATAAATTTTCAAGTCGAAGCCATAAGTGTGTCTTCATGGGATATTCCTATTGAAAGAAGGGTTGGAATGTGTATGATTTAGATAAGAAAGAATATCTTGTTTCACGAGCATTGATTTCTATGAGACTGACGAAAATAAAGAAATGCATATAGAGGAACTAGGAGAGGATGAGGAGTTTGAAGCGAGGGGGTAAAGAATCGGTCCAAGCTCGTGAAGACGAGCTTGACGTGGAGGATCACCACGAAGTTGAGATAGAGGAAAATATTCACTAGGAGGTAGGGGCCGAAACTGAGAAAGATGAAATAATAGAGGAGGAACAGTTTTGTCAAGACCCAAAATCCAGCTAGTCGTGATGTTACCTAACCCAACCTGCTAGGTAAGCCAATTGATAGTCATCACAGCTCAATTAGGATAACAAGAGTCAATAAATAAAATATTTGAACTTTCTATACATAATCTCAAGGATTGGTAATACAAGCCATGAGCTTTTAAGACTTAGAATTTACGAAGCTGGTACGAATACATTATCTGTTCAAAATATACATAAACATATTTACAAATCTAAAGTTACCAAGAACAAGAGACAGCTATAAACGAAACGTAGGTACATCTTCAATGCCAACTCCTACCATACACAACAATGTCAGCTCCAAAATCTGCACGCAAGGTGCAGAAGTGTAGTATGAGTACAACCGACCCCATGTACTCAATAAGTAACAAACATAACCATAGGTTGAAAGCAGTGATGAGCTCGGAAGAAGGTCAGTGTACAACACCAATAGCCAATATCAACTCATAATAATATAATGGAGGCAGTAAAAGTAACGACTCAAAAGATATCATGCTCAGCTCGTTCACAGTTACACAAAAGTAGAAATGCTTTCCAAGTATAACAGTCAAGTCTAGATATTACAACTGAAAATCAACTAAATATGAGTTTATCAAAATAACTGTATTCCCAATTCATAACACCATATAAGGATTTTCGTTTACCAATTAGCACGAGGAAAATACATCTCTATGCCTACATGTCAATATACATGTCAAGTCATCAATTATCATATACCGTCCAGCATTAGAAAAATGCATCTCTATGCCTACATGTCAATATACATGTCAAGTCATCAATTATCATATACCGTCCAGCATTAGAAAAATGCATCTCTATGCCTACATGCCAAGTATGCATGTCAAATGAATGATTTCACAATGGTATCACCAGGTACTCACTCTCAACATACTCTAGTTGTCTGTTTCTAATTGCCCACTTCATCACACACACACAAAATCACTCAGCACTGTACGAGTGCCTGGCTCGTAAGCCCTTCACCAAAGCATGTGTATATGTATCAGCTTGCCTACGCTTACTGCTGTTATATCAGACTCTGAAGGGGTGGATCCTGCCCAAGCGCTAATCAAAAGCCAATATGGCCTGCTGCAACGTGCAGCCCGATCCACACTAATAATAAAGCCAATAAGGTATGTTGGGGCGTGCAACCCGATCCATGTAATAATAATAAAGCCAATATGGCCTGCTGCGGCATGCAGCCCGATCCAAATAACATTCTCAATACGGCTCTAAGGCCCATCTCAGTCATCAACCTCTCAAGTCTCAAGGTCTCACAATCTCATATCACTCAGCCCAAACAATACCACATATGGACAACAACAACAACGTGTGATGTAACATCTAATAATGAACAGAGACTGAGATATGATATACAAATGAAGAATTATGACTTAGTGTATAACCACAGTTAATTCAGATATCTCAAAACAACAGAAATAGCCTCATTAGGTTTCAACTACATAAGCACATAGCCTAAACATGATTTCTAACATGAATCACAGCTAAGATAATCAAACAGGTAGGGAAAACACAGATATAATAAGGTATGATAGAAAAACAAGTCCGGTAATAGTCTAAAAGACAACTCGGATCATGATTACTCCGGTGCATGCCCACACGCCCGTCACCCCAATACATCTCATATAACATAGTTCCTAGGGTTAAATACCTTCAAATTCAAGTTTAGATATGTTACTTACCTCGAACAAGCCAAATCCAATACCGAGCAAGCCAAACAACACTCTAGAAATGCTATCCCGCGCAAATCAACCTCCGAACGACTCAAAACTAGCCAAAAGCAACTTGAAATCATCAAATAATGCCACAGGAAACAAACTCAAATGATAAAGGTCGAATCTTTACTCAATTACTCAAAGTCAACCAAAAAGTTAAACCCAGACCCGCACCTCGAAACCTGATAAAATTGCAAATTCCAATAACCCATTCGATTACAAGTCTAACCATACTAATTTCAGTCAAATCCGACTCCCAATCAATGTTCAAAACTCAAAAAGTCACTTTAGGAATGGCTTGGCAAAACCCCCACAATTTCTCTTTAAAATTCATAATCCAAATGTCAAAATCAAAGATAGAATCATGGAATATAATAAAAGCCAAGTCAAAATTACTTACCTCAATCCATGTGGTGAATATCCTCCCCGAAATCGCCCAAAACCGAGCTCTAACCCAAAATGTGATAAAATGAACCAACCCTCGAATATATATACAATCTGCCCAGCATTTTCGCATCTGCGAAATATTGGCCGCTTTTGCGACCAGACTATGCTTTTGCAGACTCCACTTACTAGCCAACTTATTGCATATGCGGAAAGTTTCCCGCCTCTACACCCTCGCAGGTGCGCGTCCATACTCCGCTTCTGCGCTTCACCTCGATTCTGCGTACCATCAATCGCTTCTGCGCAACTACAAATGCGCCCTGTTTTTCCGCATCTGCGAAGTTCCCAAGCTCATTCCTATATCACTTCTACGACCACGTGACCGCATTTGTGACTCTGCACCTCCATCCAAATCTCTGCATGTGCGGTCACATCAGAACCCAGCCAAAACCGGCATCAACAAACATGATCCCAAATGATCCGAACCACCTCCGAAACTCAATCGAGACCCTCGGGACCCCGTCTGAATATACCAACAAGTCCCAAAACATAACATGGACCTACTCGAGGCTTCAAATTACACATAATAATGTCAAAACGATGAATCGCACCTCAAATCAAAGTTGAAGAACTTTTAAACTTCCAATTTCCAAAACTCGTGCTGAACCTCATCAAATCAACTCAAAATGACTTCAAATTTTGCGCACAAGTCCCAAATGATATAACAAAGCTATTACAATTCTTGGAACCACAATCTGAACTTGATATCATCGAGGCCAACACCCGATCAAACTTATGAATATCCAAAACCTTCAGATTGTCAACTTTCGCCAAATGGTGCCGAAACTTCCTTGAAACATCCAAATGCAAATCTGGGCATACGCCCAAGTCCAAAATCACCATCCAGACCTAACGGAACCATCAAAACTTCGATCCGAGGCCAAATGCATAAAAGTCACACTTGGTCAACTTTTCAAACTTAAAGCTTCTAAAATGAGAATCATTCTTCTAAATCAATCCTGAGTCACCTGAAAATCAAAATCGACGATTCACACAAGTCATAATACATCACATGGAGCTAACTCAAAACTTCAAATAGCTGAAAAGAATGCAAATACTCAAAATGATCGATTGGGTCGTTACATTCTCCCCCACTTAAACATACGTTCGTCCTCGAACGTGCCAAGAGTCATTCCAAAGCCATCAAATCACTATGTAACCTACCATGCACACACCCTGGGGTGATGCCACGTCACCCTAATCCATATAAGTCCGTCAACTCAACATAACTGAAGAATCTTCCTTCAACCTTAGTCCATAAGACTTGGAACCTAATTTCCAACATTCGAAATTCATTATAAGAGAGGAATCAAGCACCCAATAGTCTTTTCCACATCCCAAGAAAACTCTTCTCACCACACCTAAGCTATCTAAACACATCCCATAGTCACATCATACTCATCATATAGCCATTCAACCACTCACCAAGCCATAAGTCCCACTCCCAGGGACACTACCGAACATATAAGTCCAAAGGTGCATGCTTACACAACTGAAACTACCGAGCCCAAGCTGCAGTCCAAACCTGGCCTTAAGTCTTCCAGACTAACCCATCACCAGAACACAAAAAACACATCTTTCGCCCCATCCATGGAATCACAAGCCGCTGGTGAACAGTTGATACCGAGCGCTCATATAACATACGAGTGAGTGGAAGGAATTCAAAGAGATACGCTTCAAGATGAATCAATGCCGTACGATAAGTAAAGAAAGATGGAAAATTCATGCTAGATGCCCTGTAGCCTCTCGAAGATAGGTATGAACGTCATCATAAAGATCCACAAGACTCTACTAAACATTTGCTCATGACTCGTAGAACCTATGAACCTAGGGCTCTGATACCAACTTGTCACGACCCAAAATCCAGCTAGTCGTGATGGTACCTAAACCAACCCGCTAGGTAAGCCAAATGATAGTCAACACAACTCAATTAGGATAATAAGAGTCAATAAATAAAATATTTGAACTTTCTATACAAAATTCCAAGGATTGGTAGTACAAGTCATGAGCTTCTAAGACTTAGAATATACAAAGCTGGTACGAAATAAATATATTTATCTGTTCGAAATATACATAAACATATTTACAAATCTAAAGTTATAAACAGCAAGAGGCAGCTATAACCGTAACGTAGGTACATCTTCAATGCTAGCTCCTGCCATACACAGCAATGTCAGCTCCAACGTTTGTACGCAAGGTGCAGAAGTGTAGTATGAGTACAACCGACCCCATGTACTCAATAAGTAACAAACCTAACCTTTGGTTGAAAGCAGTGACGAGCTCGGAAGAAGGTCAGTGTCCAACACCAATAGCCAATATCAGCTCATAATAATATAATGGAGGCAGTAAAAGTAACGACTCAAAAGATATCATGCTCAGCTCGTTCACAGTTACAAAAAAGTAGACATGTTTTCCAGGTATAACAGTCAAGTCGAGATATTACAACTGAAAATTAACTAAACATGAGTTTATCAAAAGAACTGTATTCACAATTCACAACACCAGATAAGAATTTTTTCTTTTACCAATTAGTGTAAGTAAAATACATCTCTATGTCTACATGTTAATATACATGTCAAGTCATCAATTATCATATACCGTCTAGCATAAGAAAAATGCATCTCTATGCCTACATGCCAAGTATGCATGTCAAATGAATGATTTCACAATGGTATCACCAGGTACTCTCACCTTCAACATACTCCAGCTGTCTGTTTCCAATTTCCCACTTCGTTACACACACCCAAAATCACTCAACACTGTACGAGTGCCTGGCTTATAAGCCCCTCACCAAAGCACGTGTGTATATATCATCGTGCCTGTGCTCACTACTGGTATGTCAGACTCCGGAGGGACGGATCCTGCCCAAGCGTAAATCAAAAACCAATATTTCTACTGTAGAGTGCAGCCCGATCCACAATAATAATAAAGTCAATAAGGCATGTTGCGGCGTGCAACCCGATCCATATAATAATAATAAAACCAATATGGCCTGCTGTAGCGTGCAACCCGATCCAGATAATAACAATAAGCTAATAAGGCATATTGCGGCGTGCATCCCGATCCAAATAACACTCTCAACACGGCTCTAAGGCCCATCTAAGTCATCAACCTCTCAAGTCTCAAGATCTCACAATCTCATATCACTCAGTCTAAACAGTACCACATATGGAAAACAACAACAATGTGTGATGTAATATCGAATAATGAGCAGAGACTGCGATATGATATGAAAATGAAGAATCATGACTAAGTGTATAACCAAAGTTAATTCAGATAGCTTAAAATAACAGAACAACCTAATTAGATCTAAACCAAATAAGCGCATAGCCTAAACATAATTTCTAAGATGAATCACAACTCAAATAATCAAACAGGTAGGGAAAACACAGATATAACAAGGTATGATAGCAAAATAATTTCGGTAATTATCTAAAAGGCAACTCTGATAATGATTACTCCGGTGCACACCCACACACCTGTCACCTAGCATGTGCGTTACCCCAATATATCTCATATAACATATTTCCCAGGGTTAAATACCCTCAAATTCAAGTTTAGATATATTACTTACCTCGAACAAGCCAAATCCAATACCAACCAAGCCAAACAACACTCTAGAAATGCCATCCCGTGCAAATCAACCTCCAAACGACTCAAAACTAGCCAAAAAAAACTCAAAATCATCAAATAATGCCATAGGAAACAAACCCAAACGATAAAGGTCGACTCTTTACTCAATTACTCAAAGTCAACCAAAAAGTCAAACCAGGGCTCGCTCCTCGGAACCCGATAAAACTCACAAACTCTGACAACTCACAAATTTCGACAAACCATTCGATTACTAGTTCAACCATACTAAATTCACTCAAATCCGACTCTGAATCGATGTTCAAAACTCAAAAATTCACTTTAGGAATGTTTAGACAAACCCCCAATTTCTCTTTATAATTCATAATCCAAATGCCAAAATCGACGATAGAATCATGAAATATAATCAATGCCGAGTCAAAAATACTTACCCCAATGCATGTGGTGAAAATTCTATCCAAAATCGCCCAAAACCGAGCTCTTAATCCCAAAATATGATAAAATGAACCATCCCTTATATATAAATACAATCTGCCTGTCATTTCCGCATCTGCAAAATATCGACCGCTTCTGCGCCGTCGCTTTTGCAAAAAAAAAACCACGCTTTTGCGGACTCCACTTACTAGATGACTTATCGCACCTGTGAAAAGTTGTCCGCTTTTGCGCCCTTGCAGGTGCACGTCCATACCCCGCTTCTGCACTTCACCTCGCTTCTGGGTACCATCAATCCCTTCTGCGCAATTGCATATGCGCCCTATTTTTCCGCATCAGTGAAGTTCCCAAGCTCATCCTTATATCACTTCTGCGAGCATGTGACCGCATTTGCGGCTCTGCAACTGCGCCCAAGTATCCGCAGGTGCGGTCACATCAAAACCAGCCAAAACCAGCATCAACAAACATGATCCCAAATGACCGAACCACCTTCGAAACTCACCCGGGCCCCTCGGGACTCCGTCCGAACATACCAACAAGTCCCAAACATAACACGGACCTACTCGAGGCCTCAAATTATACATAATAATATCTAAACGATGAATCGCATCTCAAATCAAACTTGAAGAACTTTTGAAATTTCAACTTCCAAAACGCGTGTCGAACCTCATCAAATCAACTCGGAATGACTTCAAATTTTGCGCACAAGTCCCAAATGACTTAAAAAAGCTATTTCAATTTCTAGAACCACAATCCGAACCCGATATCATCGAGGTCAACTCTCAGTCAAACTTATGAACATCCCAAACCTTCAAATTGCCAACTTTCGCCATATAGTACCGAAACCTTCTTGAAATATCCAAATGCAATCTAGGTATGAAACCAAGTCCAAAATCACCATCCGGACCTAACAGAACTATCAAAACTCCGATCCGAGACCAAATACTCAAAAGTCACACTTGGTTAATTTTTCAAACATAAAGCTTCTAAAATGAGAATTATTCTTCCAAATCAATCCTGAATCGCCTGAAAACCAAAATCGACGATTCACACAAGTCATAATACATCACATGGAGCTACTCAGAATTCAAACAGCTGAACAAAATACAAATGCTCAAAATGACCGGCTGGGTCGTTACAAGTTGTGATGCGTACAATGCAAGAAACATACATCGGTCCGATTGTGTGATTATATTACTAATGTTGTCCAGAAATTGAGTCCATCTTGTCCTCCATACACTTCACGACGTCACTCAAGTATGCATTTTCCTTTAACACAATAAGTGAATTGTAATAAGTTCTCTGTACAACAAAGGGCTTTCCTTGCAGCAATCACTGCAGCACATGAACCAGCTCATTTTTTTGAGGTTGTGAAAGATGGAAAGTTGAGAGAAGCAATGAAATTAGAAATACAGGAACTTGAGAATAATGGAATATGGGTAATAGAGGATTTACCTCCTAACAAAAAGGCTCTCAGTTGCAGGTGAATTTACAAGGTAAAGTACAACTCTGATGGAACAATTGAGCGACACAAGACCCGACTAGTTATTCTCAAGAATCATTAAGTAGAGGGGATCGACCATAATGAAATATTTACCCAGTGGCAAAGATGGTGACTGTCGGTGTATTTTTGGCTATAGTTGTGTCAAAGAATTGAGAGTTACATCAAATATATGTACATAATGCTTTCCTGCATGGGATATTCAAGAGGAGGTGTACATGAAATTGCCTCCTAGGTTTGGAGTTTCAAGTCAAGAAAAGTGTGTAGACTTAGGAAATCCATTTATGTGTTAAAACAAGCACCGAGGTGTTAGTTTGCTAAGTTGTCGACTGCCTTGGAGGACTATGGGTTCAAGCATTCATACTCTAATTATTCTCTCTTTACTATGAAAAAGGGTGAAGTTAGAGTAATGTTCTTGTGTATATTGATGATCTGATTATATCTGGCAGTGAGCCCAAGGCTATCAGTGAGTTCAAAATATATCTTGGCAAATGCTTTTACATGAAGGATTTAGGTAGCTTGAAATATGTTTTGGGAGTAGAAGTCTCCAGAAAATCAAAAGGCATTTTCTTGAGCCAACAAAAATATACCTTGAATATTATCTCAGAGGTTGGGTTATTAGGTTCTAAACATGTGGGAATGTAGTTGGAACAAAATCATTGGCTGCATTAGTGGGTAGACGGGAGTTTGATGACCCTAAGTGCTATCGTCGTTTGATAGGTCAACTTATTTATCTGTGCTTTACTCGGACGGAACTGTCTTATACTGTTCATACATTTTCTCAGTTCATGCAGCAACCAAAAGAGGAGCATTAGGATGCAATTTTACGGGTTGTTTGGTACTTGAAAGGGAATCCGGGACAAGGTATTTTGTTGAGAAGCAAATGTGATCTACGTCTCTATGGATGGTGTGACTCCAATTGGGCTGGTTGTACCTTGACTCGATGCTCGCTCATAGGCTGGTTTATCTTTGGTGACTCACCTATATCTTGGAAGACTAAGAAGAAACATACCTCTCAATCATCTGCAGAGGCTGAATATTATTCTATAGTAATGACAATCTGTGAGGTGAAATGGTTGAAGGAAATTTTATCTAGTTTGGGAGTGACTTGCACTTCCCCTATTCATCTTTATTGTGACAGTCAAGCAGTATTGCACATAGCAAAGAATCCATTCTTTCATAAAAGAGCGAAATATATTGAAGTGGACTGTCATTTTATGTGTGACAAGATTTACAGTAAGAATATTCGTACTAGCTTTGTGTCTTCACATGAGCTGGCAGATATTTTTATGAAGGCATTCAAAAAATCTCGGTATGTTTCTCTCTTGCAAGTTGGGCATTTGTAATCCGCATGTGCCAACTTGAGAGAGGGTATTAAAGCGTGTGTATTTAGGTATACATATTGATAGTAAATATATTGTATGTTTAGGACTAGGAGAGTTTTTCTTTTTCATATTTGTTAGGAGAGTTTTCAGTTTTTATTTTCCATATTTGTTAGGACAGTTTTTCTTTTCACATTTGTTAGGACTAGTTTTTCATATTTTTTAGGACAAGGATTTACTATTTGACTTGTATATATATTCTTGTTAATTAATAGAATAAGACAAGGCTTTCTCGTTCACACTTGGCTACCATGTGCTTGCGTGTTTGGCAGCTTCTCTTCTTTAAGGTAACAATCTATGTCACTGATAATGACTTAAAGTGTATCAGTTATTTGAATATTCTAACATTATATTTTTTTAATAAAGAATCTTATACACCTAGAATCTAGAAAACCAGATATATATCTTTAGTACAAAGTTCAAGTAAGCTAAATGACTCATATACAAACCATTTTTAGTAATACATATATTTGTTACCATAAATGTCTTGGATTGAAAGCCAAAAGAGAGTATTATAGGAAGTTGTCAAAAGCAAAAGACGAAGAAGCCTTTAAAGAATACAAGAGATTGAAAGAGCTAAGAAGGAAGCTAAGAAGGCTATGAGTAAAGCTCCAAGGGAAGTTCTAGATATCTTGCACCAAAAGCTAGGAACAAGTGCAGGGAAAAAGAAGTGTTTCAACTAGCACGACAAAGAGAGAAGAGAGGTAAGGATTTAAACCAGGTGAAGTATATTCAAGACGATTGTCAACAAGTGTCGAAAGGAGATAACGAGATCAAGGAGAGATGGAGAGGATATTTTGATCAATTGTTCAACTTGAACCGAGAGGGTAGCATTTTAGGCCTCTAAAAATTTGTTTATGATAAAAACTTTAGCTACACCAGTAGAATTAGGACGATAGAGGTAAAGGATACCATGGGAAATATGAAGATTAGAAAAGCTTTTAGTCTAGATTGTATCCCTATAGAGGTCTGGAACTGTCTTGGGGAGGTTGGAGTAGTATGTCTCACTAAGCTATTTAATGCCATACTAAGAAGTGGTAGGATGCCTGAAGAATTGAAGAAGAGTACCTTGATTCCAATGTATAAGAATAAAGGAGATATTCAAGTTGTGCGAACTATCGTGGTATTAAACTCATGAGTCATACGATGAAACTCTGCGAGAGAGTAATAAATTATACTTAGGAACACGACAAGAGTGATAGAGAATCATTTTGCATTTATGTTTAGTAGATCTACAATAGAGATTATATTCTTGCTAAGAAGTTCAATGAAAATTTATCGGGGAAGGAAAAATTTCTATACATGAATTTTATTAAGCTAGAAAAAGAATATGATAGAGTATCATGAAAGGTCCTTTGGTAGGTGATGGAGAAGAAATGAATTCATAATAAATATATAAATGTCATAAAGCTCATGAAGGAGCTATTGCTAGTGTGAAAAAGCTCATGAAGGAGCTATTGCTAGTGTGAAAACAGTAGCGGAGATACAAAGGAGTTTCCCATCAGTGGGTTTATACTAGGGTTCTAAATGGAGTCCCTACTAATTTACCCTTATTTTGGATGAGCAATACAATACAAGAAGAGGTAATGTATGCTATTTGCTAATGATATTGTGCAAATTGATGAAACTAGCGAGGGTGTCAACCAAAAGCTTGAGTTATGAAGAAGCATTTTAGAGAGTAAGGGTGTTAAGATAAGTAAAAGTAAGGCTGTATATATGTATTGCAAGTTTAGTCAGCATGAGAAGAGCGAAGTTAAGGTGAGATTAGATGGAATTAGGTGCCAAAATGCAAATGATTTATATATCCAGGCTCGTTGTTTTAAGATAATGGAAAGATAGATGAAAATGTTACTCATAAGATTAGAACTGGATGGTTGAAATAGAGAAGTGATACCGGGGTGTTATGTGCTTTTAGGATGCCTACCAAGGTGAAAGGTAAGTTCTATAGAACATCTATAAGACCGACAATGTTATATGGTAGTGAATGTTGGGTTGCTAAATTCAACATATCCACAAGATGAGTGTTGCAAAAATGCGAATGCTAAGATGAATGTGCAGACTTAGCTAAAGATAGGACACAATAGAAGAAGAAAATTCATATATGTGATACCTACAAGTTAGAAATAGGTTTTAGACTTGGTAGAGAACTTCTATTACTGCTGCTGCTGCTGCTATTATTATTATTATTATTATTATTATTACATATCTATTTTTTTAATTATACTTTTATTTTATTTCGATAATGATGATGATATGAGTTGAGCTTAATGAAAGAAATAAGGATCCATATCGCCGACCCCAACTTGTTTTGACAGAGACGTAGTTATTATTGTTGTTATTATGATAATTGTCTTGAATTAAAGTGTATCCAATTAAGTAATCAAACTTCCTTGAATTCTAAGTTTTACGGTGGCAAGAACCTTTTAAATAAGTTAATCGTTGAAAAAAAGGACTACAAACACGTCTTGCTCCAACTAGTCAACCACAGCTTTTGACCATTCTTTTTCCTTTACTCCCTACGTCTAAAGGAGTGTTGGAATTAAGGATACAATAGTTAGCACATTAAATTTGTCAGTGCAGATTTGCTTATTGATTTTTTTTTTTCGAAATATGTTTTACATATTTAGAAATGCACAAAAACAAAATAAATTGCATTTTTAATAGCTTATTTCAAAAAATATAGTTGTAAAAGAACATGTTAACTTCTCATATTGTATTTAATTTAGAAGATGACTGTTCGGTAAATCCACGAGAAGTGTGACAAGTTCACTAGTTTTATTTTAAATTTGACAGCTTTAGATTTCGTAGAAAGATTTTTTGATTTATTATATTTTTATTTTCTCGCAGTTAATGAAATTAAACAAGGGAAGCGGAAATGGAACCGGAAGAAAATGAAAACAAAAAAGAAAAGGAGGTCTCTCGTTAATTTTTTCATAGCATGGAAGATAAACAATATCATTGTATACGGTAAAATACGCTATGCTAAGTGGCCGCTAAAGAGAGTGACACGTGAAACTTAAGGCGGGGATAGTTAGAACCGAAGGCAATTATCCCGTTTGTCACAGGAAAGAATGACACTCATAAAGATGCAACAAATACCCTCCGACCGGTAGCATTATTCCACAGCATTTAATGCGCTGTCATTACAGAGAATTTGTCATTTATGCTCGCCGCTACACCTTCATCAATGGCCCTCATAAGTGACATTAAAGAAGGGAACGATCCTAGGGCCTTGTTCCCTAGGCGTAGCTATAAATAGTGAGCTCTGTTATCTTTGTAAAGGACACGACTTTCCTGACAAACTTATGCTATAATCGATTAAAAGCTTTACACAATTTTACTTTCTTGTTCCTTGGTTTCATCACTGTTCTGCCCGGAAGTTCTGCCCCTGGAATTACTGTTTTTCGTGATTTTATCTTCATTTCAAAGCTAAGTATTGCGTATTTCTTTAATTATTTTATTATTTCAGGATCAAATTAATCCCCTTGTATAGAAATCACGTATAAATTCAACTGTACCGTTTTACGGGTAAATAGTTTGTTGCCCAGCGTGGGGCCTAGACATCCATGTAATTAAATTGATCCTTGCGTCTTTTACTAACGTGTTTTGATTATTTGTCTTAGCAAAAAATTATAAGATATGGCAGATAATGGTGTTAACAACACACACAATCTTGAGGTTCAAGGAGACCAACCTCATCTCGAGGATTTAATCAGTGACACCCACAATGAGGGGAACGATGCCAAGGTGGTCCACGACAGGCGGTGCCCACGACATGTTCGGGAGGCAACTCCCGATGATGCTGCAGATGAGCATGTTGTTGATGCGGTAAGTGTCCTACAAGAGCAACAAGCAATCATTTTAGGGTACCTCACACGACAGGATAAGGTTATGACAGAGTTCAAGCAGGCGTTATCAGAGGCTTCCAATAACGCGAATAGACAAGGTCCGGTTCCTCCCGGTGCTCCCACAAATCAAACAATGCAGAGGGTCGACAACAACACCCCGAGGGGCGAGGTTAGTTCCGATGGGGCTGGGAGAGTGGATCCGGCCCCAATAACGAAAGCGATCCCTTCAAGAATGAACTATTACGATTTATGAGAGAAGTGAACGCCCGCATGGACCAAATCCCGGGTGCACCACTGGTGCTGAAAGGACCGGACTCAAAGAAGTATACTCAATTGCTGTACAAACCAAGCGCGACACCAGAATTAATCCCGAAGCAGTTTAAAATGCCTGACGTGCCAACGTACGATGGAACTTTAGACCCTCAGGAGCATATTACCACCTATACAATGGCGGTGAAGGGGAATGATTTAGCTCCTCACGAGATTGAATCTGTTTTGCTGAAGAAATTTGGAGAGACTCTCACGAGGGGAGCCTTGACGTGGTACTCCCTGTTACCCAAGCATTCCATAGATTCCTTTGAGATGCTCGCGGATTCTTTTATTAAGGATCATGTCGGGGCCAGAAAGGTGCATGTCCGAAAGGCCGACATATGCAGAATTGCACAAGGAGAATCCGAGTTGCTGCGAGTGTTCGTTACCCGGTTCCAAAAGGATAGGATGTTGATCTCGGCTGTTCCGGATGAATGGGCGGCTGAAGAATTCACCAAGGGTCTGAATCCGAGAAGTTCAGACGCTTCCCGAAAACTGAAGGAAAGCTTGCTTGAGTTCCAAGCAATGACTTGGGCAGATGTCCACAACCAGTACGAGTCAAAGATAAGGATCGAAGATGATCAGGTTGGCTTCCAGTCGTCGAAAAAGGACGGGAGAAGAATAGAAAAAAATCAAAAGATGATTTCGACACAGACAAACGGTGTTTGAGGGGCCGGTTTTTGCCCTACGAAGGGAATGAAGGCCGTGGCAGAGG